AAGCAAGTGGGGGGAAGACAGGCCAACAAACCTTCTGAATAGGAGAGAGAGAGGAAATTGAGGGCATTACTCACATCCAAATGATGAAGCTTCTTGACAAACTGGATTCCAGCGAAATCCTTGCACCTAACGAAAGCCTTCTCTGCCAACTCGAGTTCTAACTGTTCCAGTGAAGCCTCGGCCAGCAGTTTCCTGTGGGAAAACAACTAACACTAAACTCTGTGACCTTGTCATATCTTACTCACACCAAAATTATACCAGAACACACTCTAGACAGCAACCTTGCATATTCGTGCTTTGGCAGCTGTCTACTACAAAGTTTGCCCTCGTTTTCAAGTAAATTACAAGGATTTCAAGCACAGCTTCATACACACACTCCTATGTTCCCATGTTCCACACTAGAACTTCATACACACACTCCTATGTTCCCATGTTCCACACTAGAACTTCATACACACACTCCTATGTTCCCATGTTCCACACTAGAACTTCATACACACACTCCTATGTTCCCATGTTCCACACTAGAACTTCATACACACACTCCTATGTTCCCATGTTCCACACTAGAACTTCATACACACACTCCTATGTTCCCATGTTCCACACCAGAACTTCATACACACACTCCTATGTTCCCATGTTCCACACTGAACTTTGCATACACACACTCCTATGTTCCCATGTTCCACACTAGAACTTGCATACACATGCTCCCATGGCGAGCTAAGAGAGCCTATACCCAATCGTCTGAGTACAGGATTATAATGTGACGGATACAGTAATCTCCTACACGTGATTCTAAATATTTGCTGAACTACTCACTTCGCTCGCCAAAAATGTGTTTCGTTTGTTCTAGTACATACGTAGATTTCCCACACATACCAGAGTCTGGGATGAGGGTTGTCCTCAATAAACTGACAGGTGTCCTTCAGACCGACCGATTTCAGCAGACTCCTCGTGTCCCGCAGACTCTGGGCATATAACAGAAAGAGCGAGGGAAGAAATGGAAGACTAAAGAGAGAGAGCAAATACAAAATTTCTCACAAATCAGTAAGAATTTCACTGTTGGGATTGCTTGGCCAATCACACGGAGCAGCTCTTTAAAATCTGTCTCCCCCCTGCCATCTATGTATGTACATACGTTCTCTCTGACCATACATACGTCGTACCTTGATATCTAAGTCAAGGAGATGGTCTTGAATGGATGGATTCTCAGGGTCCTGCATTACCTCATCCATCAGAACAGACTTGACCGTCATCTCTGTGAACCGACAGATGTGCGCCGAGCTCTGGATCGGCTCCTGACAGATACGGAATAGAAGATGGACAAATTAGGAACTACATATTATATATGAGAGAAACATGAGGAATGTAATTCTGGGAATGGGGCATGGAAATACCTCTGGTTCCACTCCTCTGAAGATGTACATTCTTGTCTTCTCCATCACTGCAAACAGATCTGGGTTATCCTGAAAATGAAACAGACACCCACTCAACACTGCAACACGCTCGGTAAAATTTTCTCAGGACCAAAAAATTTTACCTCGGCCCATACGAGATGCCAGACGTCCTTTCTCTGGAGCTCAAGTTGAGTTGCAACTACTGCTGCTTCAGCTCCTGAATGTACATCCTGTGAGAGACATAGAGCATGTACATATGAGTTAGATCAGAGGCTACAACATTGAATAAGGGTCCTACACTTGTATCAGCAAGATGGCAAATCTTGCAGGAGCATTATATCAACGGAGGGAGGATTAATCCCCTCCTTCCAAAAGGTGCCTACCAGCCACACATACCAGTTCGTATAGGTTCAGAAACCCCATGTTGTCAACCACAGAAAACTTCCTGTGAGAGAGAGAGAGAGAGAGAGAGAGAGAGCACCTCACACCTCTTTGTTTGTTTGTTTGTATATGCAAAACAACGAAGAGTTTTACACACACACGAGAGAGAGAGAGAGAGAGAGAGAGAGCACCTCACACCTCATTGTTTGGGTATATGCAAAACAATGAAGAGTTTTACACACACGAGAGAGAGAGAGAGAGCACAACGTAATATGCAGTAGTGCGCGCAAGGTGTGTGTGGATGTAACGTACGTGGAGGTACAGTTGAATGCAAGATGCTCTGGTTTGCTGCCGTGTAAGACGCTGCCATCCAGTGACACACCAGGTAGAGAATAGTACTGCATACTTCCAGACTCACGTCCCTGTGTAGGCGATTCATGAATAATTCATGAGCTCAGCATAAACAGGCTGTATATACAAAAAATACTGCGAAATTTAGAGGTCGAAATTTGGGGGAAATTAAAAACTTAGTGGTCATTATACGCATTGCAATTGCACATTAAAATATCTAAAGGCATCAACCAAACAGAGAATCAGTGTATGGTGTTCTCTTAATAGAACTGCGAGAGCCCAGTCCCATGGCTGACTCACCACTATTAGCCGCTGGTTGGAGACACCGACCGAGCATATTTTATCGTTGGTTTCCTGAGAAGAGAAAGACAAAGATCATGATCTAAACTCTTAAGTTTGGTGAGGAGTTTGTGTACCCTGGCAGCTATGCTGAAGTCTACGGCCGCACCGTCCAAAACCTCAGCTGGCAGCTCATCCACGTGGATCAACCTGCAACAACACAGAACACACAAAACCTCTCTCCGATTGGTGTCCAGATTACAGGGGTTCCTCCACTGAATGCAGTGACGAAATGTGGCCCTCCCTACCTCTCTTGTCCCTCCCAGCCTTTCCTGGAGAGGTGAGTGAGTTCGGACACAGCCAGCCGCGAGGCCGTGCGATAGTGCCAGATGAAGATGGCTGAGTTTGAAGCAGCTACCACGTGGGTGTGAGAGATGGCCACAAACCGAGGTTCTGTGTGAAGATCATAATAAGGCCACTCTTTAAAAAGTATCGTTGCTAGTTTTTAACCATACTATTTTCTTTGTAAACTAAGGCGAATTGCACAATTAAACAGTAGCCAAGCAAGTGACATACTATTACAGATTGATGTGGTATCACTGATCAGCAATGGGGATGGTCATAATCTCTAACACCACACCTACAGTCTCTCTCCCTAAATTGCTCTCTGTTGAGTTAGCAACTCACCCATATTGATATACTTTGATTCCAGGGGAGTCCCCAGAGCATTGCATAGGAGCAGAACATACTGTATGTATATACAAAATGAGAATTGTATCACGCTTAGTTTGAGAAAGCTAGAGAAAGGGGGGAGGAAGAGAGAGAGAGGGAACAAGGGGGGAGGGCGAGAAGAGAGAAGAAAAGGGAGGGAGGGGGGGAGGGAGGAAGAAAAAAGAGAGACAATACAGACCTCTCCGGGGTTATCATCAACCTCGGCGGCTAGCAGGGCCAGGTCTCTACAAGCAGTTACGTGGAGCAAATTCTTCACGGCCTTGGCGTGCTTCTCTCCGTCTGTGGTGCTCCAGAACACGAGGCAATGCTCCAGTTTCTCCGGCTTTCGAAAGGTGTAGACCACAGTGCCGGAGAAGTATCCCCACTGATACGGAGAGAGGAGAAACGGAGCACATTACTGAGAACGTGGTTGAAGCCTGGTTCATAGTGTGTTGCTGGAGCCCGCAACACTACGTGATCCAAACTAACAGCAACATATATTAATTACTGCACAATGGAATTACACAGCATTTGGCCACGTGCCACGTTTAATGTTGGTGATTGCCCCATATTAATCACGGTTTACATCACAAAAGTATATACAAGTTAGAATTGTCTTTCGTCTAAACCATAGCCCCGCCCCCTTCTCCATTGTCTATGATTAATATGAAGGTAAGAACCTCAATGCTTCAATTTTGCAGGGAATAAAAATGTGTGCGAGCAAACGTCGCATAGTTTTGCCGTGAACTCCAGCGCAACAAGTTGTGAAGTAGGCTAGAGTGTGTGGGGGGCACCTTGTAGTTGTGTCTGATGTTGGCGAAGTAGATGTACTGTGCCACCCCGAGGGCCAGACGAAGACCGTTTCCCTCCCACGCCACCGACAGAGGGGCCTTCCCAGGTCCTTTGAGAGTGTGCAGGTGCTGGAAGGGTACATACGTAGATGACGGCACTTGCTGGTGTTTAGGGGGAATTTTCGCCAATATTTCGTGTATTTCGCATGACGCCTTGATACTTATTCAAAAATTTAACTCCACGAAATATAATGCAAAATGCACATAATACGGATTAGCAATGCACATACGAAATTTATAAATACAACATTTACCGGGTTTACTTATATGAAAATTTACCCCTACTTAAATTTCCCAGCTATATAATAGGGCAGAACCAATAGACAGGTGCTCTTCATTCAGAGGCTACTTTTTCAGAAGTTCCTCTGTACATATACCTCTTGGTTGAAAAAGAAGAAGAAGATGATGATGATGATGAACAAACTCCCTATCATAGCCCCATACATCTATGATGCTATAATAGGTACCATGCCCATCCCTTTGTACTAAGTACTACCGTACTTAGTGATACCTCTCCAAGGGTGTTGTAGAACTGAATTACAGAGACGTCTTTCTGCTGTCTCCCGGCAAAGCCATCAGTGACCCAGTGTGGTTCCACTTCACCTGAAATACCTGGATCATACCCTACATCCATCTGTATCGGGGCTGAAGAGAGAGGGGGGGAGATCTATACCACCCTGCTGGAACTCAGGTTCTCATCACTGCGTGTGTTTTTGTGTCAAAAACGACATCTCGAGGCAAAACAACAGACACCCAGGACAACTTTGTGCTTGTGCCTAAAACCTTAAGAAGAGAGCTGTACACTAAGTTTTGAAGATGATAAAAAGCATAGATAGACATGCACGAATAATTCAGATCTTCTGTCTATGAACCACTCCTTTGTGCGGGTCTCTGCAACCCACATGCCATGTGCGTACAAAAACTGAAACGTACATTCGTCCAGTTCATTCTTCATGAGTTGGGCTCTGCCGTTGTCAAAGACCACGACCAGAGAGGCGCAGTTGGGTGCAGCATAGCCGTTGATCCCACTGTACCATTCAACACTGGTCAGCTTCACTGCTCCTGTAGCTCCTGCTAGACACTGTATGTTCACCTTGCTCTATATACACGGAGAAATTAGAGCAGTTTCATGAGTAGCGTTTTCATTTTCAACCATGCCTTTACACTGTCCACATAATGTATACTGATGAGATATTATAGCGAGTAGGGTAACTTTTTAATGCCTTTAGATAGGATATAATGTATACTGGAAGGATATACTGCGTAGGGTTACATTTGCCTTTCCACTACATAAGGTATACTGCTGACAACAGTGTGAGAAGCAAATACTAGCCAGTGTAGTGTACAGGTTGATACACGTTGAGCACGGCATTTTTCTCACATTGTAAGAGCCGTGGCTGTCGTAAATGTGGACCTCCCCAATCCCGATACCAAAGAGAATGACTTTGCTGTCCGGAGACCATGCAACTTGGACCAGCTGGACACCCTTGATGTCTTTGCCCCAGATACGATTTCCATCCACTGAGCCCACTATGACAGCCCCTGGGGGGTGGGAGGAGAGGAGGTGATGAAATAATAGAAGGATACTTAATAGCGGGAAAGGTATAATGTTTGTGGTTCAGTGAAAAAAATAGATAAGGGTAGAGAAAAAATTACTATCGTTCTGCTCTACAAAATGGTCCGTGGTACACTTTCGGAAAATCCTAGAAAGTTTCTTCCTTAAAATTTGCAGTAAAAGGGAAAGAATGTGTGTGTGTGTGTATACCATCTTCGTAAGCGATGCAGACCTTCTGGCCATCTCTGTTCCACTGCATGTCCCTCACAGTACTCCGATTTCTATTGTTTATCATCTCCTCATACCAAACACCCTACGTACGTCAGGAAAAGTGGCTAGCCCGGTAAATTTGTGTTAAGGGGTCACCTTATAGAGGACCCAAACGACAATGTGTCCATTGGAGTCACTGGAGGTGAGTCTGTGATGGGTTTCATTCCATGTCACCACCTGAACAGAACCTGGACATTTGGAATAGAACCTGGATATTTCACACAACATGAACCATGTACGTACGTAGCAAGCAGCAGCAGCAGTAGCAGTGGAAAATTAAAAGCACACCTCTCGAAGACACTTTATCTCCCCAAAGTTCTTGCAAATTCTCATGCAATTTGACCCTTTAAAATTAAGGACACCTCACAAACATGGAAACGTTTCTTCTTTCTCGTTGGTGTCCAACAGCTATGCATGGCTCAGTGTCCTACATCTATATTATGGCTCACTGCCCACGTCGTGTCCCTCGAGTGTTTGGTTCATTGTGAGTGCAGTGGGAGCGGCCAGTCCCTTCAGCTGGCCCTCTGCGTCCTCCTGTGGCTCCAGCTTGAGCACCTTCAGCATCCCGTCCACCCCGCCGCACGCGATGTAGCCCCGCGTCCCGTGCCACGCGACGCACCGCAGGGGGACGTCGTTCGGGATGGCAATCTGCAGCAGCATGCAGTAATATATAAGTGCATTGAGAAAAGATCGAAAAGATGTCGCGAGTAAAGCAAAACTCCGATCGGTCTTGCACGTGCTGACCTTCTTGCTGAGATAGACTAGCATGATCCTCTTCTCCTATGCATGTAAGCCCTGGGCAAATCGTCTTTCCGTTATTCCGCCTCCAGGCACCGTTTCTTCAAAGTTTTTACCTCCAGTTTCTATGGTAACCGACCATGTTTCTCTAATTTAGCGAAACACTTTCCTTGTTGCTAAGGTGACAGTCTGAGTTGCGTAAACAAACCCGCGAGCGCAGGCTCTGCTGCGCGCCTTCGGGAAAGAATCGGTGTTTTGCCCTCTGGCTACGACCTGTGGCGGAGGAAATGCGGTAGGCGAAATGCCCCAGACTGAGGGAGAGAAGGGACGGCGTCTCCGGATAAAGATCATCAGCATGGGAGCTGCAGAGTCTGGCAAAGTACGCGCTGATTTGCCGTTATCTTTCTGCCAGCAGTGGTATAATAGACTATTCGTTCATTTTCCTGACTGTAGAGCTGTCTTATAAAACGGTACTGCGAAAAGAGATTCGTTTCCAAGTACATGTCAACACTCGGAATCGACTTCGGCGTGACAAAGTAAGGTAGCTACATTCTACTCACTGGCCTTATACAACATACGAAAACTGACATCCGTGCCGCAGATTCAAGAACGAAGATATCGATGTGAGTGTCAACATATTTGATCTGGCAGGCCAACCCTTCTTTTTTGAGGTAGGTACTATATACCTGAGCCTATCTGTCTAGAAGATCTCCTTATCAGTAAGCCACAGACCTCCCAGAACTTAGCTCATGGCAGACACAAACCCACAATACATTTGGAAATCTCACTGGTATAAAATTTGCAAATGAGGGTCCCCCTTTTTTCTTCATTGCATAGGGTAGATTGGTGTATATATTATTATAGAGAGAAAAGGTCTTCCGTTGAAGGATTATCTGTTTAGGAAACGAAATGTGAATTCTGCCAGAAGTTGTTTGCATTCTGGATCCTCTATATACCAGCCATAAAAACTACGGTTGTACCATACACTATTTCCAGATGCCTCAACTGACAAACTAACGAGGCTTTAAAACAAGCTCTGCCATTCTCGATTATCGCCGCCTGTTCATTAGCACAGTAGCAGTCAAGACATGAAGTAAAGTTCAAAGATATGTATTGCCTTTAAACTTTAACCCTCTTTCTTGCTCGTCGGCAGGTGAGAAACGAGTTCTACAAAGACACTCAGGGAGCCCTGTTGGTCTACGATGCCAGCCAGCGCTCCAGTTTCGACGGTCTCGGAGACTGGCTGGTTGAGATGCGGTCCCACCTCCCCAACCCTACTGCCATGGACAACATTATCTTTGCCGTTTGCGCAAACAAAGTGAGAGACATTTTAACGGCTAGCCCTCATCCCTGAAGTGTGTAATACGCCGGTTTCATTTTACCTAGTGCAAAGATATGTAGCTACCTCTTTGTGATAATGACTTCTCTACTTGAGGGTGGGCAGGGCATGGTCCCTCAAAATTTGATCAACTCTGCACTCTTCCGCTAATACATGTAGTCAAAATTTCCCCCTCACTCAGAAAAAGTAAAATACTACCATAATATAGTAATCTTTAACTCTATCCAGACAGACGTGAGTCATCGAGAAGTGACAGAGAGCGAGGGGAAGATATGGGCAGAGACCAAAGGCTTCCTCTACTTCGAGACTTCAGCACTCACCGGGAAGAACGTGGTGGAAATGTTCCACGTTAGTCCTTCTTCTCCTTTTCTTCCTTCTCTCTAATACACAGTAATTGTGTGAAAATCTCTAAGCATGCCTCCTAGCTAGTCGTCCATATCGCCAAATTGGTCCCTTGTCTCTAACACATTATTGCTGAACTTTAGGATGAACACAATAATGTAGGGGTACATGAATATAATAGTATACCCTGTGGACTAGCTTGGTTTTCTTGTCATGTGCTATATACATTTTGTGCATTACACTGTATCAAGAACATGGTTTACCTAGTCACCTATGATCTAACCAGTCTTCAGACAGACCATACTGACTACAGCTAACCACAATGTGCTAATAAACAACCCACTGAGACAATTAGGCACAATGCACTGGTAAAACTAACCTGGGCAGTTTGCAAAGGTCCATCAGCTGCTCCCTTTTTTAGATGTGGCTTCTCCCTAGCCCTGCCCACTATATTCTGCTGCCTCCAGTGTCTATAAATCTGTGGCTAAGACTGTTGCTATAGCACCAGTTCTGTCTAAGCTGTTGGTTTGTAATATCTGGTTTAGTCAACCACTCACTGATGATTAGTGGCCATCAGCATGCTTTTTAGCAGTTCCTTGTTGGTTATTGTGAGGATAATGACATCAATGGCTAATGACAGTGAGCTGGAGTAATTATATAGGCTACTTGAAATACACAATAAAGTGCAAATTCTGCTGATCTCATTAAAAATCTGTATAAACATTTTCTCTTAAAAACTAGGCACTGTTTGCTGCTGTGGTTGCCACAGTGCTGAATGGCCAGAAACCAGCCAGGATAAACTTTGACCTCAAGTACACTCCCGAGCAGGTTGCCTTGGTGACGAGGATCCGGTGTTGTGAAGGGAGTCACGAAATTCTTAGTCTGCCCAAAGACTGCAGTAGGTCAGTCATGCTTGGAAAAAAAACAAGCAGGTTCAGTTTTTCTCTTTCCTTCTAAAATCTGAGGCAGGTGTAAATTTTCTCCTGATCAAATCTTACAGGATGTTATCCTCACAAAAATTGTTTTCATTGATTCCGTGTGAAAATGTTTTCATCTGGTAATACAAGCTGAATTTTACAACCAGCTATAAATTTACTCCTTGTAGTATATACAAGTAACCCCCTCCTATTTTCAATAGTGTAGTAGCTAATCATTATTCACATCTATCAAGGCACAAAGGATGTGGAGGTCTATAATGGTAGTGAGTATACTCTTTTAAGTGTGCCATATGTACACATAGCGTCTTTTAGGATTATGGGGCAAAGAAAAAACGTTTTAGTTTAGACGCCACTGCAGATTGTGGCAAACCTGAAGTTGTACACCTACTACAACTCATAGCAAGTGTACCTAGTTTTCACCCACTCTCCCCCTCCTTCCAAACATGTGCCTGTAGTTGTGCACTACTCTCAAACATTTTCACGTGGTGCTCAGGAAGAGTGAACAAGGGTCCTACAGACAACTGGCCATCGTGCTGCATCTGACCAGACCCCAGGCAGGCAGCGAGGAGGCCTTCATAGACCTGGCCAGAGCCAGAGAGGACCATCCTGAGGAACATACACTGACTCCTGTACAATGTAGCCTTAAAATTATCCATTTTGCAATAACTGTGAACTATTCCATGTGTGTGTATATTCTGTTAGAAACTTTGAGCTAGGCCCAAACAATGTCCAGGGTGATTTTTGTTCGTTCAGAAGAACAATTCAGTACTCCATGGTATTTAGGGTAGTGAATGTAAGAGTGTTGATTTGTTTTAGATAAATAGACTAGACTGTGTCACTAAGCACACAGTGTGTAATTGATCAGGGGACTTGCCAATTGTGGGGGCCCAAACCAAGGTTCCCTCCTCCTATGTTCATTCTTGTAGCTAGCACACTGGTAAGCCCTAACCTCACAGGGGGCATTCTATCTACGCCAGGTGGCCCAAAAAATAAGAAGTGGTGACAAAACTTTTTACAATACACCCTTACCCCTCATTGTTCAACACCTTTTTCACCTGTGCAACAGCTGACAGTGAAAGAGGGTGCGATCAGAGTAGGCAGAAAAAATGGGGAAATTTTTTTCGTGAACAGTTCTAATTGCCGCAATTGGGTGGTTTATTTCGCAGTAGCTTGTACTTCCACTGCCTGTCCACCACGATGAAAAAAAGGTGTAGTAAAAGCATAATGGAGTTCTGCATGGGCCCAAACCAAGCCAATGATAGGTCACTGCTAGACCCCCGATATATAATAGTGTCGTTCCATTTCCCACCCTTGAGTTACTGTTGTAGTCAGTAGGCCCCTTGACACATTATGCTCAAAATTTCCCCAATTATTCTTTTCCCTTATGCTCTCAAATAGTGCCCATTATTCTCATGAAGCTAGCCATTATTATCATGAAGCTAGCCTATTATTCTCAAATAAAAAATGTTGACAACATCACATTCTATTGTAACATAACAGACGCAGAAATATAATCCTCGAGGGATGATCTTTGCTGATGGTTGAAGGAGTTTTCGAGAAGAGAGAATGCTCGCTCGGCCGCTGCGGAAGACGGCTGCACTAGCAGAAGTAGTTGGAAAGCGTTAGCCCAATTAGGCAGTTCATGTTCGTGACTTTTCCACCACAAAACAGTATCGATTTCTGACGATACATCTTCCGCGTACGCACACATAGCTAATTTCTAACCTATTATTCTCACTGAGCTATAATTTTTTGCTGATTATTCCAGCATAATTCCAATAAGCTTATTACCCCTATTATTCCCTAAATTATGCTGGCATAATGTGTTCAAGGCCTATTATCAAGCCCCTGGATGCCATTGATAACACTTGGATTGTAATAGCCTCAGAATTTAGCCATAATACCAATGAATTCTTTTCCTCAAGCTTCTCTCCCTATGGTCTTGTGTAATAATTGGTGCAGCCCATCAAGTGACTACAAACCTAACTGTCACCCCAAAAAGCTCCACAATGGCTCTTAGATGGTCTACCAACTGTGGAGACCACATGTCCACTGGGCTGGTCGATCAATATACACATCACCCCCACTTACGCTCCCCCGCTTGCCTCAGGCCCAGTGGGGGGCATATGAAGGGTATGATAAAGTGATCCAAGCTCTACCTGTGCACCCACAACACCTACACACGACACGTGCAACAGGGACGAATTCGCGCGGACGCTTGTGGCCGTGAGTACAACAGCGCTGCGCAAGGCCACGAATACAAAAATACATTGTCGCGAGGGCCGATGTCAGTTTTAGTATCGTCTTGCGTGTGTTTAGACAGAAAATGTCCCTACTTCTCGACGCAGGCGTATGCTGAGTTTCCCGCCGAGTGGCTCAACGAGCCAGACGCCCGGCTACGTGAGTGTGTTTGTTTTGCCCGTTGCAAAGTACTAACGTTTTTTCTTTTCTTTTTTTCTTCTACCCCTCCCTAGCATTTTTCACACGCCTCTCACCTTCGCCGGAATTCTCGTGCGTCAGTGGCTGGTCTCCTCAGCAGTGCCCGTCTGGTACCCGACCGCCAACATTCATGGCGTCAGGGTGTACACTATAATTAGCTAACGCCGCTATTACTATTATTATGCTGCGATCGCACGATCGGTGGTTTTTTGGTGCATCGTGTTCTTCTGTGTGTGTATCGCCAGAACTTTACCAGGTGCGCCACAAAACAGCGCAAACTTGACTCTAAATTCTTTTCCTGTTTCCCCCGCTCTAAACCATGGAGTCTATCCTAAAGCCATTCCCGATGCTGCGTTTTTGGTTTGCTCGGGTTTTGCTTTTTGCTGCATTGATAACAGAAGTATACTTTTTCTCGCACCGTCTCCGCCGGGAATAGATGGGAGTACGTTGGGTAAACACCCACTAGCCCTACACATCCTTGGCCTTTCCGACGTCGACACTGCTCCGTCCACCAGTCATCCAGCTACTGCTCACCCCCTCCCTCGTCCTCCCCCACCTTCGCACTGGTTTTTTTTGGCACCACACTGAAGGGGATGGGGTACCCCAGCATGGGGTGTCACCCCGCTCCAATATACCCCAAGCGATGGAGCACCGGGGAACTCGATCCAAACTCTAAGCAATCGAGCAGGGGAGGAGGCAGAATTCGTTATTGGAGGAGTTCCGCATCACATGGATATCGTTTGAAGATCTCTCCTCAAATCAAGGGCCAACGTTCTTGAGTTTGCTAGAGACAGGGTAAAACAATCAAATTATGGAATCTATGTATCTTCACTTGCCCCAAAGTGTCACATTTACTCATGTGCGATCATTTTCACTCCTCACCTTCATGAGTGCTAATTCACATTATATCTTATCACTCTGTCTAATATTTACAGGGGATTTTCCCTTCTCCCCATACATAAACATGGCCTCTATGTTTATCCAGCAGCAAATGATACAGCAACCGGACGATAGAAAGGCGGACCTCTTTGCCCGAGATTGAGGCATTGCGGCAAAAGTTTGATGGAGGATCTTCCTCTCTTCGGAAACTACAGTGTCCAAAGTTTTTCGAGTTTGGGGAGACCCCACAGATCGAAGTGTCCCTTTGCGACTACTCATATGGGCGTCGGTGTTTCAAGTTGAGTCTTCAGACATATGGATGTCGATGGTGCAGAAGGCTCTAGTGTTCCTACCACTAGCACTGCAGGTAATGGACGGTGTGAAGTTTTTGAAGAGAACTAGCAGTCTCGTCTATATAGTAATGAGTGTATTACAGGTATTTACCCAAAAAGTGCATAGTACAACGGTGCTCTATATTTTTTTGCAGCTTCTCCCCGTACGTTTTAGAACTCTTCTTTTAAGAGGTGTGGAGCCTGCTCTTGTCGAGATGGTGAAAAATATGTAACTGTGCTACTTAGCTCCTATCAGGGGTCAGCTCTCTCTGGCCCTCTTGCCCTTTGGGAGAGTTACTTCACCTCTGATACGCTTTCAACGCTATTTGGGTATCCTGAAATGTCTCAGCTTTGCATACTAATCTAAATCAGCATGATCAATACTTTATCAGCCTTTTACTTCCCATGGTGGAAATAATCCCCCCAATGTGGGCTGGCCAAATCATACTGAGATTGTTTTACGCCCTAACAGGTTAGGGTTTCCAGTGCCTGTTATGGCCACGTGGTGGAGTTGTGTGATGACAGAATGGAATCACGTCATCCAAAGTGCCTTCGAATGTTTGTTCAACCCAACTTTTCTGGACTTCCATCATATCACTTCTTTCGAGGGAATGGTAAGCCCTCCTACTACATTTTTT